GCGGCATGTAAACATGCTAGCGGAGTTAGCATTAGCATGTCGGTGCGGTAGCATTTTCCTCTCTCGTCTGAACTATAACCTTGAAATATTAACGGTGTGCTGCTGTTGCTGTCTTACCCTAATGTGATGTTGAGTGACTTACATGAGCGCTGAGCAGGGTTTGCTCATTGATATAAAGGTTTTTCTGTATCATTCCGCCCCCTGACTTGTCAACAAAGCTGCGGGCTTAAGGAAGTGGAGGAAGTCCTTTCTTGATACTTCCTGTGTGCGACGGTGTAGTTCTATATTCATTAATTATTATTTCTGTTTCAGACTAAAAAACTCATGTACCAATTACACGTGTCATGATTGTGTTCAGCATGTAGATGTGAACAAATAAAAAAAGTTAACTGAAAAAAATAAAATAAACCAAAATGATAGGGGGGCTTGTGATTATTTTAGGGGGGCTGGAGGGTTAATATTTGCTCGTGTGTTTATCTTAGTGGATATAAACTTCTATTCAAGCCACTGTTCAGGACTACTCTTAATGTGTTTGACACCATGCTAGTTGGATCCTTTAACCTTAACTAACGCTTTTGAAAAGAAGAGGCAAATAAAACTGTTAACCACTCTGTTGCATCAGCTGAATGGAGCAAGGGTGAAGAGGCTGTTCTGTTTTCTCCTAGAGGCAAGGCTACAATGACAAGGCTCTTACTGGGAGTGTTTTCATCTCACATAGCACCAAGGTGACTTCTGCTGTGTGACGCTCTGCTGAATCCAGCCTCATGGTGAGATAAGAGTGGGGCATAGAGTTCCAGCTCCAGACATCTGCTAAAGATGAACACTGGCCTATTTATTACCTGTGAGAGAATTTATAGTGCTGTCAGTCTGTTTGTGGGATTTAAAATGAGTTTCCAGATAAAACAGGCTAAATGGTTAGGTTAGGATGGCAGGAAAACACCGTTCCCTTTAAAATTACCGTATTTTCCGGACTATAAGCCGCTACTTGCTCCCCCATGCAGTGAACCATGCAGCTTATAATGAGGTGTGGCTTTACTGAAGATTTTCCTTCACCTGCAGGGGGCGCTTTAGCAGAAAGTGAAACAGGTGGAAGTCAAAAGTGGAAATGGAAGAAAGTGCTCATTTTAATTTAGCACATGCAAGCAGCCGGCACCACGAAGAACTTGTTCCAAGTCCATACCCCCTCATCATGGTAACTACACGCATGAGTTCATATGATGCCACATTTAAGTTGAAGGCCATCGATCTGGCAGTAAAGGAGGGAAACGGTGCTGCCGCACGTAAGCTTGGCATGAATGAATCCATGGTTCGGCGCTGGAGACGGCAGCAGGAAGAACTCATTCAAGCCAGCTTCACCCGGGGATGACGACAGCGACACGGACATCGCCACAGAAAAGGTATGTGACGAAGCTCCAGTGAAGCTTTCTGTAACGAGCAAACTAATTAATTACCTTTTTCTTTTAACAAAATGATCGTTTCTGTTACTGATAATGAAATGCGTGCGTTAAGCAGCGCGGTGTGTTGAAGCTGTCATCAGCTGATCAGGAGCTAAAGAGGCAGATGTTTTCATCCAAGCGCATCACGGCCCAGGAAGAATGAGGAAGTATACATATATGGACAATGGGTTTCCATAGGCTTCAATAATAAGTTTTTGTACTAAAATGGGAGGTGGCCACCACCGCCATTTTGACCGTGTCACAGGTTCCGTCAAGCCCAGTCACTTCCACAAAAGGGAACAGAGGAGGAGCTGAGGGTGGGGCTGTAAGGCTGGGATCAACTGATGACACCCGGTCGAACTAGCTACAAGCTAACCTGAAGCTAACCCAAAGCTAACGCGGAGGTGGGAGCTAAGCTAACGGAGGTAGCAACCTAGCTACAACCGGAGTTAACTGTGCACAACACCAGAGCTTCTGAGTCTGAGATACGCCGGGCTGACGGCTGGGTAAAACCGGGTGGAACACAAGAGGTCTCCGAGACCTCCACAAGCCGGCAGCCGCACAGCAGACAAGTGCCGCTGCGATCTGAGATGCGCAGATCTGCCGCTGGGGAGAACCGGGTGGAAAGGTTTCATCCCAGAGCTCCACAAGCCGTCAGCCCGCGCATCAAACAGAAGCCACGATCAGACAGAGATGCGCCGAGCTGCTGGGAGGGGAGAACGGGTGGAAACAGGGCCGGAGTGGGACACATTTTCAGCCCTGGAGTTTCAGACCCCAGACCGGCCCACTTAATGAATTATTATTAAAATCATGTTAGAACTTTATATGTATAGTCTACAAAAGCACACTACTCGGTAAAGCCTTGTAATTCAGTGCAAGAAAGAGTTGCTTTACAATGTAGGTTTATTTGAACATCAGTGCACATCTCCAACATTGTTCTTTACAACACATTCTCTAACAATATAACAATCTACCTTCTGTTCAAACAGCTGTTCTGAGATTTTCAAACCTTTAAAATGAAATGACTCAGCACTCCCTTTCACACTTTTTCCAGTTTCCCTATACTCACCTGCACACAATTAAAATAATCATCTGTAAAGCTTTAGCACATTTGATATGGAAAACACATTTTTTGTAACCAATTAAAATATTTTCTATGGCAAAATATGCAGGCTTATTTCATTTTACTTTCATTCTAATAACTATCTGTTGTGGGCTTTGTGCATTTACTAATAAAAATACAACAGGTCACTACTATTATTTGGACATTAAAATTATTATAATGAAACTAATGTTTGCTTGTTTGCACATGAGTTGGCTCACTTTCTATCCCAACAGGAGCAATACCCTCACTGCTGGCTCCTGGCTCTTCTTCTGACACTACATTGTGTGAAAATTGTCACAATTCAGCATTCATTTTCCTTTTTACACGCTTTCTGATCAATGCTGAATCATCTAGCATTTTAGAACACTTTCATATAGAGCCAGGATAGTTTTCATCATATAAATTTTAATAATATTCAGTTCACTGACTCAATAAGTAATCCTACCTGTACATGTCCACTCTGGAATGGTGGGTTTCTGCCTGGTGCTTATTAGGCCTACTGGATCTTGTGGGCTACAAGACAGTTTGGTGGCATCAGTCACATCATACTGTTGACTATATTACATAACGTTATGTCATGACGCCATATAATTCATTATTGATGCTTAATTAACTTGAATGGTGATTTGCAGCCGGTAAAGTTTAACATCTTGACTTGCCTTACCCGTTTTATCTTCATTTGAAGTTAAAGACCGCAAGCTTGTTTGAGAAAAAAAGGTGCTCATTTTTGCACATTTAGCTGCATCTGTTTCCAGCGCTTTCCTCTTTTTAATTCTTGCCTTCTCCGCGCCACCCTTGCTCTTTCTACTTTCCATCTTTCCGTCAACTGCGAGGTCACGTGGTGCGCACAGGCGCATATTGGGCAAAAAGAAAAAAAACGAGCTGCAGCCTGCAGGTAGAGACAGCCGGGAGGAGCATTATGAGATCAGCCCGGCGGCCTCAGTGCCATGACTGAACACCGGCACCAAAAAATAAAAATAAAATGATAAAAAACAAAAACGAGAGCACCGGCCCATGCGGCCCAAACATCGCGCGGCCCACCGGGAATTCTCCAGACCCTCCCGATTAGCCACTCCGGGCCTGGGTGGAAACCATCGGTCTCCCGAGAGCTCCACAAGCCGATAGTCGGAACCCAGCTCCACCAACATGTTATATTTCAACCCATTTTCTAAAGTGCAGCATTATGTTAAATGCACTGGGTTTTACCCTATTACATTTAAATTTCATGGTTAAACAGTACATGTTAAAATCTAAGCTCAGCTTGGCAGTGACCTAAAATACATAAATATAATTTTACTTACCGAAAAAAATGAAGTGGAGACTCCTTGGACGCTCTATTAGTGCAATTAATGCCACAGCAAGTCATTTTGTCCAACAATTGCACAAAAAATAAAAAGAATACACAAACACAGAGACTCAAAATGCCGGAACAGTTTCCAGACCAGACCGAGGCTCTACTGAGGCCTTTCCACGGAGCTAGCTCTGTGGTCACGTGGGTCGGATGCTCATTAATTATACAGAATTTTAGGCTTTTAATACACTTAAACAGAAGAGTGAGAAAAAAATGCACCCCCCTCAGAGTTGTCATGAGTGTAAACTAGATCATTTAAACCAAAAACATGTTTTGGTACCAGGCTGTAAGCATGTTTATTTCTGCTGTGAAATTGGTATTTTTAACATGGGAGTCAATGAGGATTTGCTCGCTTCTGACACCAGCCCCCAGTGGATGAGGGTGGAACTGCAATTTTTGGTACTTCCGGGTTGAGACCAATTTCTGCAATAATACGAGCCGCATTGTGGGGGCTTGCGAGGAAGATGTGATGAATATCTACGGCTGCAGGTGTGGATCTGCAGCCGTGTCCTTCTTAGCGTGACAGCGGGACGTCCCAAAGGTCCGCTCACCTGTTCACCGCTCAGACGTCCTGATCTTCTACCTTCCTAGATGATCCAGCTGTAACCTGTTTCTGATCATGTCTTTAGTCCCGCTGTAACACTGATGCATCAGTCTCAGACGTCATGGAGCTCAGGTGTTATCAGAACTACCTGTGTGTGTTTACCACCCAGCTTCAGCTCTTCTGTGGTTGGGTCTGACCCACGTTAGTAAATGTAAGTCCTCCATCAGGCTTGTGCCTCTTCTAGTGTCATTTTAAAGGATTTTATTTATTTATTTAACCGTTACTAGATTACCAGCAACAGAAATGCTACTAATAACACACAATTATGTGAAGCTGGAAAAATGAAAATACTGTGCAAAATTACATTCAATTCTGTAATTTAACTAGACTGAGATACCATTTAAAGGCTCGGGAACCTTTACAGGTGTTTCTATTTGCAATTTTAAATTTTAGCTGATTGGGGTCTTGTTAAATATCACACAGTGACCTTTTAATAGTCTAGATAAGTGTAATGCTCCTGTTAGTAGTTCCTCCTGTTAAAGGCACAGTCTGCAACATTTAAATGTAGAATAACTTTAAAAATGTTTGATTTTGACCATCTGACCCAATTTTATTAAAAAAAGTAAATAATCTTTAATATTTCAATTTTCTCCTAAGTGCCTCCCCTGCCCTGTAGAGCTCAGCCAATATTTCTGCAAGCCTAACGCGTTGACCAATAGCGCTGCGTTTCCACCAGGGGGCAGCTGTCAATCATCGAGCACAAGCAGGTCTCAGCGTGCATAAGAGTGTCACGCGCCTCACTCGGCTTACTGCAGAAACATGGAGCAACAAAACCCCAAATTACCGATTCCTCGACTGCCTTCCACATCTCAAAAAACATTTAAAAAGTTTAAAAGCCCTTCAAAAGTGGCTGTAAGACGTTTAAGACAGTCGAGTAGAATTTACATTGGAGATTGTTTTACACACCATGGAGAGATTTTCGTGATCTACACGGCCTGAAAACGGATGAAGAGTTGGCAAAGTATCTTTTAGACAGGTAAGTTATTTATTGTTTTTCGGATAAATTTACTTAAAATCTTTCTTTCACTGAAAGAAGTAATAGAGCAAACAAGCTTTGTATGCTTGGTGTCCTATTGGCTAATGTAGCATTAGCTTGAATGCTAAGTCGACATGAATCGATGCTAGTCGAACTATTTATGCTATATTTGGAAGAAGTATGAGTAACGAAAGGGGATTTTAGTTTTTTGTTTATATGGGAGCTAATGATTAGTGTGGCGTTTAACTATAGGCCACATCAGTATATTGTTTTAAGCTCTTGTTTATAACTTCCCCGTTAGCGGGGTTCAGTTAGCATCTTGAAAGCTGAATTAGGTGTTTACACTTGCCTGAGCTGCGTGTTTGATTAAAATGAGTAATCAGCAGCTCATGTAGCACTTGTAGAAGTCTGAGGAGATGATTCGGCAGTTAGAATTTGGTGTGATTGATCAGGAACCTATCCGAAACCTTACGTTTCCATTAGCACTGAAAGACATATTGTGCTAACCTGGGTGGGCCACGTGTACAGATTACTGTCTGAGTTTGTGGTCTTACCTACGTGAAAACTCCATATTAAAATAAAAGTAATGATAATCAGCTTGTGCAAAAATCTGTGAAGGCTGGGGAGACTTGTTTAGCTTGTGATCACTAATTTTTGGGCTTTGTTTTTTACAGTCATCAGTCCAAATATGAAGCATCAACATCTACACCATTGAAGCGCCAACTGTGTATTTCTCCAACACCAGTGCCAGCTCTGTCTAGCATTCATGGAGAGTCATCTGAAAGGTAAATAGCTGCCTATAAACCTCTACCAGGAATATTATAATTTTGCCTCTGTTTGTTTTAAGTTAGTGGTGGATTATTTTGAAAAAATTCTAGAAATGGGATAATGAATGACTATAAAAAATGTATAGAAATAAATAGTAAAACTACATTTTATATAGCACCTCTCAAGATAAAACTTGAGACACTTCACAACAACAAAATTAAACACATTTTAAAAAATATATTTTTATTTCAAAGTTTGAGAAAAAAATAACACAATTGTGTTTTTAAAATGTAAAGAGAGAGACAGGAAATTATTTGTAAAGAAGGAATTCAGTGGATGCAGAGAAATGCGTAATAAGTAGAGTGAGAAAAATAAGGAGAGGGTGATGATGACAGCCAATAGACAAGGTCTATTACCTTCAAAATGACAAAATATGTATTGATTCTAATCATATTCTTGTGCTTGTATTTTATTTTCATAGGGATGATAATTTGGAGGAGGTGATGGAACAAGGTGAAACTAAAAAAGAAGGATCTTCACAAATGTAAGTACAAGGTTGTATCTGTATTTGGCTGTCACATTTGTCAGGAAAAGTAAACAACAATTACTTTTTTAGGTTATCTTGTGTGGGAATTGAAGCAAACATTGACGAGGAAGAGTTCAACAATATTCAAAACTCTGTGTAAGTATTCAGATGTTAATAAAATGTGTCTAATTTTCCATACTAAAAACTTTATATTGTGTATGTTCAGGATAGTCATCAGATGACACATGGTCACCAAACAGAGAACCAGAAGTTGATTCGTCTTCAGAGGAGGACGAAACCATCGAGATGGACAGCGGTACTGATGACAGCAGTGATGAGGACTACACACCTTATATACACATAAGGTAATTCTTTTCGTTTAACATTCTATAAAACTGCAATAGCGCATAGTTAATAAAAAGCTTTTGTTCACAGGACTGGAGCAGCATTACAAAAAATATTACAACTTGAGACTCTGCAAGAAATTAACAGAGGATACAGTTCATGACTGTAATATCCCAGAAGCAACTGACCGACGTTTGACAAGCAAGAAAGGTCTTCCTCGACGCTACGAGCTAAGGGCTGAGGATCCAAGGCGTTATGGTTTGCTGTCCGGAGTTCCTGCACCATCAACAGAGGAACTTCTACAACACCTACGGACTTGTGGTGATGGTAAAATAAAACATTATCTGCCTTACATCTTCCACACAATAGTCCATTGCTAATTGAGTTTATTTTTTATTTACAGGTAAAACTTTGCCACAGACATAGGTGTTGGGGGAGGCAAGAGAAAACCCAAAACCTTCTTTATTTTTGTTTCCTGTGTTTTTTTTTTTTTTGAAAATAAAGATATATTTTGGGGAAATAAGGACTAATAATTTAAAAATTTATGTAAAATGTTGGAGGTAGACATAATTTTTTTGATGTTGTGCAGGAGTTTTAAAATTTATGGTATTTTTATAAATGCAACACAGAGTTGTGCTTTAGAACACTTTATTAGAGCATCAAACAAAAATATATAAAAACAAACTTATGTAAAATATCAAATATATACATTTATTTACAATCGTCTTGGAATAAAACCAGTGTAGTTACCATTGGGGTCAGGGAATTTTGCAGAATAAACTCCATGTGTGGTACAGTTGAAATACATGTCTGGGGAGGCTGTTGGCAGCATTTCTTTTCCAAATCAGTTGGCATATCTCTGCAGTGGGAGCATACACACCATGAAGGTTGATTGGGTGTTGGAGGTGTTGTGGCAGGTGGACCAGAGAGGGCAAGTACATCAAAGAGAACACCAGTGTCTGTCCAGCACCATGGTAAGGATGTCAATAGCCTGCTGAGGGTTCAGGTTCTGTATGTGTTGCTACAAAAGTGGAAAGAGATGCTACAGCAACAGTTATGCTTACACGTTCAAAGTCTATTCGCTCGGAACAAAGATTCCGAACTCGAGAGAGATCATCTCCAAGGTCCACAGCTGAGTGTCTCACACTTCTTCGGCCTCTGGATGCACCGCAGCCTCTGGATGCACCACGGCTTTGAGATGATGGTGGGCATCCTTTTTGCACCACGTCTTGAGGATGCAATAGGAGGTTCAAACTCTTCCTCAGAGGATTCCTCAATCACTGAACTCTAAATTGTATTAGAATAAAAAAAATTATACTAATATAAAAAGTACTCTTGCATATTAATCAATTTTGACACAGATCAGGTTTACATCTAGTCAAAATTTGGGCTAAACCAACAATAAACAGAAACCCTATGAAAACAACCATGATTATAGGAGGACTACACAGAATGCAGTGTTTATTCATGATTTCCACATAAATTATTTATATGCTTTGATATATTCATCCCATCTTGAATGGCAAAGCAATTAAAAATAAGCTAATTACTTGTAATAAAATGCTAACAATTTGATAGGATTAATTTTATTTACAATATAGATTGCCAACTGTTACTGGTATTTTAAAATATAAATATATTTATAGATATTCTTTATAAAATGCCTTTTGTAAACAGTAAGTGTTTAATTTGCTGGTTAAATACAACTTTCTTACCTCAGATAACTCCATTGCTAACACTAGCTCAGCTCTATTACAAGAAGCAATGCTCCGATGTTGACTCTGCTTTTCCTGCGCGTGCACATTGGGAGGTGTGGCTTTCGGCTCTTTCAGGAAGGGCGGGGGAGTGAGCAACAGCCGTTCGAATTTAAAAATCTCCTCCTCACCCTGACGGCGTCATCCTGCGGACTGTGCCTTTAAGTGCTTATTTATTTAAATTATTCATGTTTATAAAAAACATTTGGACATACATTTTATTATGTTCCAGTAATTAGACATTTATTTTTCACTATTGCAGTAATTCTTGCATGCTTTAATGAAAAAAGTAACTAAGTAGTTATTTTTCGTGGTAATTAGTTACTTTTATAATCTTGTAACTCAGTTAGTAACTGAGTTACTTTTTTGACAAAGTAATCAGTAACTATAACTAATTACTTTTTTAAAGTAACGTTCCCAACACTGCGAAGCTCTTCGGAGGCTGTTCAACTTTGACACTGAAGAAGAGGATTTTAATGGCTTTAGTGCGCAGGAGGACGATGAATAAACTAATCAATAACTTTTCTGTTTTGTTTGATACTGATCAGTTCAGTTACGTTCAGTTAAACTACGTTTTCAATTCAGTAGATATCTGCAGCTTTTAGCCCGGTGCGGCTTGTATAAGTACAGTTCCATGTGTTTTTTTAAACCTTGTAGGTGCGGCTTATATTGTGGTGCACTCTATAGTCTGGAAATTATGGTAAGCTCCAAACATTTGTGATTAGAGTGCTGTAAAGGGCAGCATAAGTGCCTGGAATGAATGTAGTGGTGTTTAGTAAACAGTTTCACAATGTAATATAGTTGAGGATGTGCTTTTAGAGTAGTTCTACATTTGACTGAAGACAAGTCAATATTCAGAGTGATTAAATAAATAAAACAATAAAAACATCTGGCTGTGTTCTGTTTTCCATTCAGATAAGCTCAATAGATTTCATTTCTAGCACAAGCCAAACTAAAAAACCTCCATACAATATATCTGTAGTTTCACCTATTCCCTGTGAATGCCTCTGAAATCAAAGCCAGAGAGACTCCACTGCCTCATACATCACCGTAGAGAGGGCCAGCGTTCTTCACGGTACAGTTTAATTTTGCGGCTGGCCTGGCTGGATGTAATTATCTGCAGCGCAGCAGGAGGAGACGACTGGTACAATGGCCTCTCCTGGGCAGAACATGTTCGTCTGTGCCAGACAGCTAGAATATTGCTCAAATTTGCCAGTAGTACATCATAAGTGTGTTAGAGGGAACAGTGCTGACAGTGCCAGCAGCCAATAAGGCATCTGTCTCTCAGAGCATGCTATTGTACAGAGACTGCCCCGAACGTCGTTTCAGTTGGAAATACAATTTGTTGTGTTTCAAATGCTAAAACTGCAAAGCCCCTTCTGTTTACATCAAAAAGCATTTTTAACTGTAACTGTAAAGAACAGATTTGCATGTGTGTGTTTTCTTCTGTGTGACGAGTTGTTGTCAACATCTCAGACTCAGACGATCTCCTGACTGGGTTCTGTCACTTTCAGTGAAAGTCTGAGGCGCCGAACGAAGCTGCTTTTACCCGCGGGAGCAATTTGACCCGTTTTGCTGGTGTCGGCTCCAAACAGGCTCTGCTTCAGACCGTCGGCGCTCTTCTGAAAGCTTCTGGTCCTGGTAGAAGCTGTCCTGACAGGTTTACTATTCTAAAACCTACAAACATCTCATCATGTGACATTTTCATGATTTGAATGACGAGCTGCACTTTAAGTTCTTCCAGCCCAACATGCAACGTCTGCTTGTCCATGACTTAATGTTTTCAAACTTGGTTTATTTAGAAGAACACTTACAACGTTGTTACACATCCAGTGTTGTGACCCAACATGGTAGTTAAATATTATGTAGTGTAATGGTTTATGGCTCTTTTATGAAAGAGGAACCATTCTACATATTAATTTGAGATATTAATTTTAATAAATTAATAACCAATTTTTATAGAATTAAGAAGACTCAAAGGTTGTTTTCATCGATAAACTGACGATCATATCCGTGTGTCTGTGTTTCAGTTCAATGAAGAGGCAAGTTTGAAAGTTAAGAATTTTAATTCTTAATTTAAACTAATGATTTGAAATGACAAGCATAGGAAATTAACCAACATTGGCAACCTTGTTGGACAATCTTTAACAGTTGATATTTTAAACTTGCACAAATAGACCTTGTGTTGGATGTGCTAAGATTGAGAATGATGTGATATGAATGCGTGTGTGCAGGTGTCTGAGATTGCTTCAGGAAGAAACAGGTGTCTGAGTGAACAATGATGATTTGAATTAAACTTAGGTCTTATTAAAAAAAGGCATCAAACGCTATCTGTCGTGTACTGCCTCACCGTACGAGGACCCCCTTTTCAGATCCGGACGTCACCGGAGGATGTTCATCCAGGGGACACCTTGGCTGGCAGAGAAGACGAAGGTGTCCGACGCTCCGGTCCAGTTGACCTCGGTACACGTTGATGACGCGTTTGGCAGACGCTCTTTCTTAAGTTTAAATTACTCAGAAATTAAAAGACTCTGGACGAGTCTGCATTAGCTGGTTGCAATTCAGCTATCCTGTCTGGCTTGACAGGAATAGCGTGTGTGTGTGGGGTGGGGGGGGGGGGGGGGGGGGGGGACAGGAGCCGCAGGCTCCCTTCCCCGAGTGTGTGTTCAACACGTCCGCTCTCTCTCGTTGACAAACTCGAACTGCATCACAAACTGAAACTTACCAAACCCAGTTCTCTTCCCAAGCAAACTTGTGCGTCAGAGCAAATGTGTTTTGGAGTTTACTGTGAGAGTAAACCTGTGTGACCAAGTGTGAAGGTCATCACTAAAACATCTTCAAACATTATTTAATTAAGCATTGATTCATTATAGTTATTATGATTAACCAAAGCATAATAATTCATTTGATTAAAACACATTTATAATGAGTAAAATGGTAAAATGATTATTTAGCATTAATAAACAAAGGAAGCGTAAGACTCTTTTATCATGACTAGCTTTCATGAGAACTCCATCTTCTGGCACTGCAGGTGTTCAGATGTTGTGGTTTCTGTTGAATCTTGCAGACTTCATTTCGGCAAAGGTCTTAATCTGTGGGTGAAAGTTCTGAGCGACCCAGCTCTTGACCCAGCCGGGCAAATACAACCTTTGGCACAGAAAAACCCATATTTCCTCACGTTACATACTAAACCACTAGTATCTTTCCTGTTGTAGGTAAAAACAGCTCACTTTTGGAGAAACATTAGCTCTGACTGAATGCATGGATGGCTCAAACTTTGTGCACAAGCATCGACTCAAAAGTATTTCAATGGGTCAGAATTTGTCAGAAGGCATGTCAGTGTTTCATTTAATCAAAAACCCATTGATTATTAATGTGCCTTTTTATTTTTATTTATATTTTAGGCCAGTTTTAAGGATTGGACATGGAACACGAACACCAAAGTGACATCTAGTGTGTGGAGGTTGTTGCAGCAACAGAAAAACGTTTCCAGCTGTTGGGATGCCTTCTGACTTGACTTGATAAAATCTATAAAGACCTATATGGGATTATATTTGTGCCAATAAGATCAAGAAAAACACTTTGGAGATCAGACAAATTTTAAGACATTGAGAGAAAAAACATTTGTTTCGAAAGAAAAACTTACTATCTGAATCAGATTCTTTAAATGATCAGGAAAAACACTTTGACGGTCAAACAAAAATTAAGAAATTGACAGAACAAAAATATTGACTAAAGGAAAAAAACAGTTTCAGTTACACCTTCTGCTGTTTGAGCAAATAAATGAAGCTTTAAGAAGCTTTATTTCTGGAATTTATTTATTATCATTGTCATTAAATAAAAGTTGGACAGATGACTTGAATATGACTTGAACATTCTAAGTTAAGGACTTGGACTTCCAGATCATTGACTTTGGACTCGACTTGGACTTGGTTGTCTTTGACTTGGACTTGACTCGAGACATGACTGGAAAGACTTGTGACTTACTTGTGACTTGCAAAACAGTGACTTGGTCACACCTCTGCGAAGCATGTTCATAAAGTTCTTCGCACTGAATCCTCCTCACATAAACCGATAAGTTTTATTCTTCCCATTTTCAGTACCTTCCAGAATGAGCCGTTTCAGCGCTAATCTCTTTAAGAAAACACTTTAGGATGTTTATCGTTCTGATCTGAACATCATTTTAAAACGACTCCAACAAGAACTTATAGTCACATCAGAATATTAAATCATGTCGAGTTTTTTGCCTCAGAAAAATCTCAACGCGTGAAGCTGACATGACCTGTGAGTTATTAGCAGATGTTTAGCTGTGGCTGAATGTTGTCAGAGGAGCAGATTTCTTTGTTGCCAGTAATCAAACACAGTGAAGGCTACGTTTCCAGCTCCTTGAAGTGTGGATTCTGTTTGTACGTGGGCGAACCTTTTCAACAGTAATCAACCTTGTATTTACCAAGACAAGTCAGACACACACAGCTGCAGAGCCTTGGCAAATCAACAAGTTAAATCCTGGCTAAATCGTTTGATTGGGTCTGACAATAGATTCAGTGAGCATGCACAGGTGGTGCAACGAAGTGACAATGTCTCAACAAACAAATGAGAGTTAAATATCCGTCCCACATAAAGGATCCATCCACACAAAGTCAGCAGCCTTCTCCAAGATTAGTACGGATTTTCTTTGCAAGTACAGTATTGCTGATGACGTGTTTTGTCTGACAAGAGCAGACTCACTCACAACCTGGCTCAAATTCCCTTTTCTTCGACTCAACCAAGTGCAGCAACATGTGCATGGAAACGGAGATCAGCAAGTCAATCTTTGACTTACTTCACAACAAACGGTCTGCTAATGCATTATACAGAGCATCAATCCACAGTGTTTTAGTGATTCTTCTCAGTTTCTCTAGTTAATTATTGATCTGAGTGGTGTTTAGATCCGTGAATAATTAACATGCCAGTGTTGTGGCTGTCAGAACCGAAGCGAACGCAGCAAAGAGTCAAAACAGTATTGAGAGAAGTGTTAAATTATGCAGCGTTGCTCTCACAATCATTTAGGAGTTCCATGACCAGTTTTCTAAGGATCAGCGACTACATAATACAAGCCTGGTCTCATTATGGAAACATTTCAGTGCCATAATTAAATAATGACACATTAAAGATGGATAAGATGACATGAAGTTTGTAGTGAGATTGTAGATCACAGACTAAAGAATCATCTGAACAAACCTTGTTTTCATTGTTTTGCAGAAGAAACATAAATAAAATTGTACGATTTTTTTAGCTCCTCAAAATTAAACCATCATTGACTCAGTGCTGCTAAAGTTTTTTATATATTTAGCTCTGTAGTCCCGTTCAAATGTCACCAAAGATTAATGCATTTCCATTCTGGTGCAGCAAATAAATATTGATGTATTAAACACAGCTATCAAACTGTGAAGTTCTCCTGAGGGCTGGAACTTAAACATATCTCTCTCTAGCTCATTACATGACGCTGACTACTGGTATCTAAAGGTTGGTTTGTGCTTGACGCATCCGCGAGGTCCACACGGCTCCGCGTGGAAAAGTTGTGTCATTTTGCGTCATCTTAACAACTACGCCCCTCCACCGCGCCTCCGCACGGCCCAAAATTTCCGCAACGCGCACCTAGGAAATTTCTACCCACGCGGACGGTCGGACGCGGAAAAACACGGTGGACCGGCAAGAACTAGTACGGCAGAGGTTCGTAAATACAGACATTTGTATGATTCAGCTCTCAAAGATCACCGTGATCAACATGTTGTTAATAATTCTTGGAGAGAAATAGCTCGCACTGTCGGAAAAGACGAGGACGCTGTTAAAAAATGCTGGAATGCCATGTTGTAAACAACAGTAATTTTTACTTCTACTATGGTGTAGTGTTGGATGCATGCCGTAGAGCTCCATGCTGCCCCCTACAGTTTGGGAGAATATTGGCTCACCGCAGAGACAAGCCGCATGAACCATAAACGCTGCAAGTTGTGAAGCGCGTTCCATCCGCGAGCCGCATCACCAAGCGGAAAGTGAATGTGTCAAGCATAAACCAAGCTTAAAGCTGCAGGGTCATCTCCTCAGTACTATTAACAGCTTAACAGTAGCTACATTGATGGGTGGTTGCTCAACCCTCCTGAGACAGAACAAATCCAAGCATTTAAGCTGATGTAACCCGCTTGTGGGCACGAGTCACTCCAGGTTTGTGTGTAATGTTACAACAACTGAAACTTTAATGAACAAAAAGGATTTTATTAAGAGAATGAATCCAGTTCATATAACAGTGGTGGCCCTGGTATGTCCCCTGGGCAATATCTTTAGAGAGTATAATGTGAATTTCCACTGTTATGCAGATGACACCCAACTGATTCTCTCCTCTACACCAACTGCATCTATTCCTTCTTGCTCTTTGTGAAACTGTTTACATGACACAACAATCAGTGTGTTTACAAGCAGCCAGTAACCCTTTTAAAACCCAAATATTCACAATAACCCGGTTCCGCAGGTCCTTGTAAACACAGCCAAAAACCCAGATATGCTAATAACTACACCTGGGGTAACCCTTTTCCAACCCGAATGTTTGGTCGTGTAAACGCATATCGGGATATCCCCATCAAAGCGTGTGTTCTGCGCATGCTCTGTTTGCAAGGAATCTTGGTCTTTTGAGTAGCGAGACGTCTTGTATGCGCCAGAACACCGGAAGTAAACGACAAGTTGGGAGCAAAATGGCGAGTCGCGGCACAGCACCACACTTTTGGAGTGACGAAGAAACTAAAGCACAAACAAACGTGGTCGCTATCTCTTCCGAACTGGGAAACATGTTGTTTTCACGGATACCGGAACAAGAAGAACTGGAAATGAGGCATATTGCGTCTGGACGTAGTCCATACGTCTTGACGCTACCCCAACGTCCGCATTTAAATCGGGTT